TACATACATACATACATATATATATATATATATACATACATACAGTCGGGACGTTGACCTAAGGAACGACACATAAGGAACGAGGCCCGTTTTTTTCCATACGTTAAACTCCGATTGTCCATGGAAAACCAGGGGAAAACCCAAGGAACGTTGTAAAACAACTACAGAACACGGAGCCCCTCCCAAACGAAAAAGGTTCCTTCTTCAGCGGCCCGACTGTAACCGTGTTCTGGAATGTGGCTCTGGAAAAGAAAAAGGTATGTCCGACTCGGCGACGCTACTCGGCGCAAAAGCCTGGCGGGCGCCGCAGAGCGGGAAAGCGGAAAAAGGCGCGGCGCAGCGGAGCACCAGGAGTAGGCCCCCGCCGGATGGTGACGCACACACACACACACACACACACACACACACACACACACACACACACACACACTTTTTGGTCTGCGGGTCGTCGACCCGCTCTCGACTCGAGAGCGGGCCTCTTCCGGTTAAGAACTAGGCGGGGCGCGCAAAACACTAATTGGGGAGACAGGGCGCGGGCGGGCGGGGCCTCAGGCGGCCAGAGGGCGCGGGGTGCAGGCGGTGCCGAAGAGCTTGCACAGGAAAAGGTACGCCTTGGACAGGAGCCCGAGGCGAAGTCCCGGAGGGAGAGCGAAGTGGTGTTGCCGTCGACGGCGACACACACACACACACACACACACACACACACACACACACACACACACACACACACACACACACACACACACACACACACACACACACACACACACACACACACACACACACACGGTCCGCCGATGTACCTCGGTATGCAGCCCTCCCCGCTGACACGTAGCCTCCCCCTCCGTAGCCTCAGTCGTCCGCCTAAGCCATCTCCCTCCATGTGGCCCCGCCGCTGATTCCGGCACGCGCCGCCCAGAGCCGACGCAGCAGGCGGCGCACGTGCGGGCGGCCGGCTGGGGGAGCGCCCGCTGGCGCAGCAGCTTGTCGACGGCCTCCTCCCGCGGCCGCGGGGAGCGCTGCGCAGGCAGGCTCGTGTCGGGACGACTTCGGCATTGGCGTCAGAGGGGGAGGTGCCCATACCTCGACCCGTCGCCCGTTGCCCCCTTTTTGGGCCTCCTCGGAGGCCCTCGTTGCCACCGCTGGACTCGCCCCGAAGTCCTGGTCAGAGAGCAGCCCGGGAGAGGTCCGAGGAGTCGCGGTATCGGTACCTTTTGGTTTCCCCAGTTCAAGGTCCGAGGTTTTCGGGCACGTTCGTGGTCTCTCGGCGGCTCTCTCCAGCCTCGGGGGGCCTTCCAGCAACTGCGCCTCGCCGACGGCGTTCCCGGCGTGCCCGGGTCGTCCCGAACGGCCGCCGGAGAGCCGAGTTATGGCCCGAAAACGAAGGACCAATCAGTGCAGCCTCCTGGCCTGCCCAGGAAGGTGCATCTGGTTCACCTGACGTCCCGCACCGCGCCCCGCGATGCGCGACGCGCGGTTATCCTCGCGCCCTCGCGCCCCCGCGCGGCCGCCTTGGAGAATGGAACCGCACTGGCCCAGGCCGCGACGCGCGAAGCGCGATAATCTTCGTGCCCCCTCGGGTGACCTGGAAAATTGGTAACTCGAAGAAGCGTGCTCAGAAACCTCGAAGGGCAGACGGGCTGCCAACCGGAAGCGCGCCGAAGGGTGCCTGCGAGTGTGCCTTCGGCGCTCCCGGAGTGACCTGGAACGCGTCGTCGGTTGGCGGGGTGCTTCACGTGCGCGCGCCTGCTGTTTTTCGGGGCTCCGCGCCCTCGGACCAAACAAGGGAGGATGGAGGAACGATGTTTTTGGACGTCGTGGGCCCTCCTTGGGCCTCCACGGACCTGGACGGAGGAGGAGGAGGAGGAGGAGGAGGAGGAGGAGGAGGGGGAGGAGGAGGAGGAGGAGGGGAAGGAGGAGGAGGAGGAGGAGGAGGAGGAGGAGGAGGAGGAGGAGGAGGAGGGGAGGAGGGAGGAGGAGGGGAAGGAAGAGGAGGAGGAGGAGGAGGAGGAGGAGGAGGAGGAGAGGAGGAGGAGGAGGAGGAGGAGGAGGAGGAGGAGAGGAGAGGAGGAGGAGAGGAGGAGGAGGAGGGGGAGAAGGAGGAGGAAAAGGAGGAGGAGGAGGAGTTTTAAACCCGTGTGCTCCCGCCCGTGAGTGGGTGCCCCTGGTCTCGGCACCCCGCGCAGGCAGAACGGCCCGAGGCGGGGTGGGCCAGCGGCCTCACCTCACGTCGTCGTACTGCCGCCACTCAATGACTCATGGAGTCGCCCCGTGGGCGGGCAGTCTGAAGAAATGCTGCCGCCGCCCTCTCAGAGCTTGAGGAGCAGCCTGATGGACGGCCGCAGCCGCTCCTCCGCTCTGCGCTCTTCCAGGGACCGCCCTGGCCGCTGGTCCCTGGACTCTTGGGCCTTCACAGCCGTCTTGCCTGGCGCAGGCCTGTGGCCTAACCCCTCGCCACGCTGGGGCGCGTTGCGGCCTAACCCCTCGCCGCACAGGGGTCCTCTGCGGCCTAACCCCTCGCCGCGCTGGGGCCTGCTGCGGTCTGGCCCCTCACCGCGCTGAGGTGCTCCTTGGTGGCCTAACCCCTCGCCACGCGGGGGTTTGTTGCGGTCTAACCCCTCACCGCGCTGGGGTCCGTCGTGGCCTGACCCCTCGCCACACTGGGGTACGGCGCGGTCAAACCCCTCACCGCGCCGGGGAAAAACGTGGCCTAACCCCTCGCCACGCTGGGGACTGCTGCGGTCTAACCCCTCACCGCGCTGGGGTGCTCCGTGGCCTAACCCCTCGCCGCGCAGGGGCCTATTGCGGTCTAGCCCCTCACCGCGCTGGGGTCCCATGTGGCCTAACCCCTCGCCGCGCATGGGCCTGCTGCGGTCTAACCCCTCACCGCGCTGGGGTGCTCCGTGGCCTGTCCCCTCGCCACGCTGGGGAACGTTGCGGTCTAACCCCTCACCGCGCTGGGGTGCTCCGTGGTCTAACCCCTCGCCACGCTGGGGCCTGCTGCGGTCTAACCCCTCACCGCGCGGGGGATCGCCGAGTCTCGCACTGTCCGCATCCACGGTGCTGCTGCCCACTGGCACGGGCATGGTCCCTCGCCTATGCCACTCTCTCTGTTCGCGGTTCACGTGGTATCCGCGGGCCAAGCCCTCCCCCTCGCGTTCAGTCTGACGGTTTCCCAGGGTGTGGGTCCGCTCTGTTAGTTGCGAGGTCCTGTCTACCACACCGTTGGTCAAAAGATCCGCGTCATGCTCGCTGGGCTCGTCAGGGACCTCAACCTCGAGCCTCTGCTTGCCTTTGGCATTGCGGTCTACCCCCTCGCCGCGCAGGGGGCTGCCGTGGCCTAACCCCTCGCCACGCAGGGGTTCCATGCGGTCTAACCCCATCACGGCGCTGGGGAAAGTCGCCGAATTCCTTGTCCTGGTCCCGCTGCAGGTCTGTGTCGTCGTAGTCTGCCGTCGTCTCGGGCTGCGTAGTTTTGTGGCCTAACCCCTGGCCGCGCAGGGGAACGTCGTGTCTCGCACCGTCGCCATCCTCGGTGCTGCTGCCCACTGGCTCGGGCGAGGTCCCCCGACTATGCCACTCGCTGTGTTCGCGGTTCACGTGGTATCCGCGGGCTGAGCCCTCCCCCTCGCGTTCAGTCTGTCGGTTTCCCAGGGTATGGGTCCGCTCTGTTAGTTGCGAGGTCCTGTCTACCACACTGTTGAACAAGAGGTCCGCGTCATGCTCACAGGGCTCGTCAGGGACCTCCGCCTCGTGCCTCTGTTTGCCTTTGGCACTGCGGTCTAACCCCTCACCGCGCTGGGGTCCTCCGTGGCCTAACCCCTCGCCACGCTGGGGTCCTCCGCGGTCTGCCAGGTGGTGCCCTATGCTGCGCTGTACATCTGGGTTCTGCTGGTGGTTGTCATCGCCGTCCTGCTTGTCCACGGGCTGCTGGAGGCAATCCTCGCTGCTCTCCTCTTCATGGAAGTGGTCGAGGGCTGCCATGTCCATGAGGCTCCGTCCTGCTGGTGGGGGACGGGCACCCCTCTGCATCCCGTCTGGCGCAGGGCTGTGGCCTAACCCCTCGCCACGCTGGGGTCCACTGCGGCCTACCCCCTCGCCGCGCAGGGGTTCGTGGTGGCCTGTCCCTTCTCCACACTGGGGCCTGTTGACTGGTTTCTGCTGCTCCTCAGCCCTTCCCGCCTCCAGGGACCGCTCTGGCTGCGGTAGCCTGGGTCCCTTGGGCCTATCGAGCTCGGGCGCTGGCGTTGCCGTGCGCAGCTCGGCGGGGCTGCTGGTGGCCCTGGCCTCTGGGTGTCTCCTCGGCTGTCTGGCTGGGGCCCTGCTTGGCACTCGCACTGCTGCTTGCGGTCGCAGGCTGCGGCTCCTCATCACTGGCTCAGTCTCACCCAGGAACTGCTCGGCAATTGCTTTGCGCCGCTCTGCCTCCTTCGGGTCCTGCTGCTGACTCTGCCTGCGCGCCCCTCCGCTGTTGAGCCATGCCATACGGCAGATCTCCTCCGCCGCTCGGCGTTGGCTACGCTGGCGGCTCAGCCCTGACACGTGGCTGAACAGCCTCTGGCAGACGCCATTCTGCAGCTCCCTCAGCACATGAGGCACGCACGCTGCCTGCCACGATGGCCAGCCATGTTCGCCCTCTTTCTGGATCCAGCAGCCTGCCAGCGACTGCATGTGCTGCTCGAGCTTGTTCCTCTCGAGCCACGCCACCTCCTGCTCGGGGTCCTGGTCGGCTTCTCTTTTGTGTCGGAACCTTGGGTGGAGCAGGCCAGCTTCATCGGCTTCGCTCACGAACTTCATCAGGTCGGGCCCCACTGGTTTGGTCAGCTTTACTGCCACCTGCACGACCGTCTGCATCAGGCTGTTGGTGTCGCTCCTCTGATCAGGTCCTGCCATGGTCTCCATCTCCTGGTCGCTCGGCTCACCCTGCTGCTCTGGGGCTTCACTGTCTGGTGTCGAGTCATCATTGGCCAGGTTTTCTGGTGACCACTCTCTGCTGGCCTCCGCTGTAGTCGGTAGCGGCCTGCGCTCGCTGCTGGGGATGCTGTGCGCTAGGATGTTGTTCCTTCTGTCCTGGAACGCGTCCATGTGCACTCTTGCTACCTGCTGTCTTGTACCGTACGGGAGGGTAAGCATCCTGGTCATGAGCCTCCGTCGCTTGCGGTGCGTGTTGCGCCAGACTTCTTCGCAGAAGTCCCCGATCTGCTGAAGCTCCTGCACGGTGACAGCCCTGGTCTGCTCTTGCGAGTCCATTCTGCCGCCCACGTTGGTGATGGCCAGGAGGTACGGTACGCAATGCTCCATCCAGTCGCCCATGTCGTCCCAGACCTCCTGGTCGACCATGTTCACCCACAGCTCCGCGTAGCCCTCCATGTGGTCCACGAGCCCCCAGCTGGCTTGGACGACAGAGTGCGGGTGGCTGGGTGGCTGCTGTGGAGCTGGCTGCGGGTCCCCTGCCCCTGAGCTGTCCCCGTCCAGGTCGATCGCCTCGTGGTTGCTCAGACCAAGCTTGAAATCACCAGGCATGGTGATCTCGTTGAGACCCTCCTCAGCTGGGTCTGCTGCTGGCTTAGCTCCTCTTGGCAGCGTTTCCTTCTGCGTGTCCGCCAAGACCCGCCTCCCTGCTGCTGTTGGGGCCTGACATGGCCTGGCCAGCTTCCTTGCCACTCCTGCCGCGGTCCTGCTCTCGTGGTCCCCAATGTAGCTGGTGCCGCCACATTTCTCGCACCAGAGCCAGCCATGGGTGTACTGCGTCTTGTGGGGGACGTCCACCACCTGCGTGCCGATCTGCACCGCCTTGGAATCAAGCCTGACGTTGCCGTGCTGGTCCTGGTGGCCGCCGTACTTCCCGAGGCATTCTCCCGTCCCTGCCAGCCAGTCTTTGATGCGTTGTCCTTTGGCTGGGCCACTGCGACACGTTGCACACCACCATCGCGGATGTAGCTTGCGCAAGTCGTGTCCCAGTTGGGCTGCCCTGTCCCTTGCCGCCTGCGGCTTTCGGCGCTTGGCCTTGGGACGCTGAGGGGCCTTGTTGGGGTCCTCCACCGTCACCGCCATGTTGATGGCCAGCAGCCGATTCTGCACCGCCATGGTGATCTGGTCCCTGGTCTGCTGCTGCGCGATGATGGCTGGATCCAGTGCTCCATGCTCCGCTCCCCAGCCTGCGTACTTGTCTGCCATCTCGTTTCCGATGACCCACCAGGTGGGATCATTCCACCTCTCCAGCTCGGCTGGGTGCTCAATCAGGTGGCTTGGGATATGGTGGCCCATGATGGTGTCCGTGCTGTTCTGCAGCTGCTGCTTCGTCTGGAGCCAGAGGTCGTAGTTCGTGCTCCTGTAGTCCAGGTCCTCAGGATCCTGGATCTGCTTGAGTGCGTCCAGGGCGTACTTGCAGTCACTGACTATGTTGAGCCCCCTGGCCGTCGCCGCCGTGGTATACCCGATGGCTTTGCTCATGGCGGTGAGCTCTGCCCGTGGCACCGTGTGTGGCGCCCTGATCGTGCCGTACCAGGCGGCCACTTCCTGCGGACGTCCTTGCTCGTCGAACCTGAAGGCCACCACTGCCCAGCCGCAGCGTCTGAGGCGGGGATCCTTGGCCGTTTCCCCTGCACCACCTGAGCCGTCCGTGAAGACGTAGTCTGCTCGAACCTTGTGCCCTGCCTGGGCTGCCGCCTGCGCCTCTTCGCTGGTGCAGAAGATCTGCGCCGCCTTCGCCGCGTCCTCGTCTGGGTCGACCTTGGCTGCCCAGGCCGCTGGCGGGATGCCGCGGAGCCAGAAGTGCAGGTCTTGCCGCTGGTCCAGTGCGTCTTTCGCCTTCTTCGCCAGGTCGGTGTCATTGCTGTGCCCTATCTCTGCGTTGGCTGGGCATGCGTAGTAGCGGTGTTCCTCTGTCTCTATCGCCTCGCCGCATCTCGCGCAGGTGTCGTCGCCTTCTTTGTTGAGGTTGGCCGCCCTGCGACGCTCCCTGGTCCAGATGCCCGCCACCGCTATAGTCTCCAGCATGGCTGCCTCTGCATGCTGTCCTTTGCGCCTCCTCCTCCTGAGGTGGCGCTGCAGCTGAAAGAGGTCGCCTCCAGCCTGAAGTCCTTCTCCACTGCGATGGCATGCTGCCTGCTGCCAGAGCTGCTGCTGCGCGCTCTGCTGGACCTCATTCAGGAGCGCGCCGAAGTGTGGAATGTCATCTGGCTTGTAGGCCCACTCGTCACCTGCTGGGCTGATCCAGCTGCCCAGGCGTCACGGTATCCAGCATAACCCAAGCAGCTGCGCGATGACCCCTGCCATAGGCCCCTTGACCTGCTGCCACCTGCGGTTGGGTTCCAGGGCGTTCAGCTTGGCGTAGAGCAGGAGCCAGCCTCTCTGGTACCTCTTGAGCTCCGTCGGGCGGCCGACTATGGCGAGCCAGAACTGCTTGATCTGGTCGCCGATGGCCCGTGTTACTGCCTCTTGCATTCCCCTCTGAATCCGGAAGATGGTGGGCGTGCAGCGCCCGGCCTTGTGTCCGCCTGTGAGGAGCGCTGCCTCCGTGGCCCTGACAGCCCTCGCCTCCGTGGGCGTGATGCCGTGCGCTGGCAGGTCCCAGGCCTGCTGGCAATAGGCCCCTGCTGAGTAGACCTTTGCCGCACGTCTGGCGTCCGTCTTCGCTAGGTCCTTCAGCTTGGCCACCCTCTGCATGGCCTGGGCCTGGCGCGCTGCATGGGTGGGTCGCCGTAGCTGCCTGCCTAGGCTGGTGTCCACGCCGAGATCGCGCACTACACCTGGTTGCTTGTTGGGGGTGCCCAAGCTGTCCAGGATGCTGGCGACTTCTGTCTGGAGGTCCTTGTCCGAGGCCACCACTGCCGTCTTGACGGAGATGGGTATGGAGAGCTGCTTGAAACCATCGTGCACCAGCGCTGCCACGTACGTGATCTGGTCTATGGCCTGCCTCCGCGCACCCTCTACCTGCAGGGCCAAGTCGTCCAGGTACTGCTGCATGACGACGAAGATGTGGTGCCTGTGCGCTGCATCCAAGATGCAATACAAGAGCGGTCTGGTGAGGTCGACCGCTTGGCCACAGCCAGCTACCATGCTGTTGGCAGGCTCGAAGATGTCCGAGAAGAGGCTGTGGGCCATGATGGCGCTGGGCGCAAGGTACATCTGCACGGCCATTGCCAGCGGCAGCAACGGGTACTGGAGGTCGCTGGCTTTCTCGATCAGCTGGTCGAGGCCTATGTTGTCGTAGAAGTTTGCCGCGTCGTAGAAGACTCCTGCTGCATGAAAGCCCATCTCCGTGGCGGCCTCTGCCCTCATCAGTCTGTGCATTGCCACTCGTAGCGCTGAGGAGCCTGCTACTGCCGTGTCCCAGAAACCTGCCGCTGCCTTGCTCCAGGGTGCTACTATGGGCCTCCTGGCTGCACTCCAGATGCGGTACGGCATGGGCATGAGGCCGATGGGGCGCTCACCTCCGATCCCTGGCTTCTTGCCCAACAGCAGCTCCAACACCAAGTAGAATTGCCACGGCCACGCTGCCCGTTGCTCACTGCTGATCAGGCACTGCACGAAGTCTTCGAGCCCCTGGGCGCCCATGGCCTTGAGCTCTGGAGCCCTCCACCAGTCCGCTCCTTGGCCAGCATTGCGCTTCAGGTGCTGGATGATGGAGCCGATGATGTCCTTGCTGATGGGTTCGAGGGCATTCCCTTGGGCCAAGGCCGCCTGCCTCAGCTTGGCCAGCGCCTCTTGGATCCTCTCGGCCTTCTGCGCATCTCGTGTCCACCTGCGTTGCCATGCCTCCTTGCGCAAGTCCACCAGCTGCTGCGGGTGGTTGGTGACCTGGCCCTCATGCTCTAGGATGTCCTCCAGGTGGCTGTGCTCCGCTGCCTTGGTGTAGGCGTGGGCCATCTTAGCACTGCCTGCCGCAGCGTCGTGCACCCAGTGGATGTACGCCTTCTTCACCGCCTTTGTGAGCTGCTTGGCCATGCTCTTTACCTCCTCTGCTACCCTGCTGATCGTCCCTGGGTCCACGAGGGCGCCCTCTGCTATCGCGTGCAGGTCTGTGAGGAGGGCCTGCTGCTGGTCCTTGGCTGCACCTTCTTCGTTCAGCCTGCCTGGGTCAGGCTGGTTGAGCTGCTGCGCGAGCTGCCATCTTGTTTTAATATGCTGCTGCGTCTGGTGGCCGCTGTGGGTGCGGACCTGCAGCTCTCGGCGGCTACTCGGGCCACTGCCTGCTCCTGGAGCACCATGTGGTTGTCTTCGAGCTGCTCCTTCTGGCACTCGTTCGCCAATGACTTCTCGCATAAACCTCCGCAGGTTAGCAAGCTCATTCCAATACATCATCTCCAATTCGTGCCTACTCGCCGGCTCCTCTCGCGTGAGACCTTGGAGAAAGCCTCGGCGTCGTGGTTCTGTTTGTCTCCATGCTCGCTCGCAGAGGTCTCTGATGATGTGGCTAAGGCCAGCCTGCTGGCACCTGCGCCTGAGCAATCTTACCATTCCATCGTTGCCTCCGCCACCCAAGATGGTCTCCAGGAACGGCACACAGACCTGCATCCAGTTGCTGTTGTCCGTGGGAGCTGCACCAGGTTATCCATCCAGATGGCCGCCCAGTGCTCTAAGTCGTCTCTCATGGCCACGTAGTCTTCCAACTCCCGCTGGTACTGGTCTTCATTCCAGCGGTCTGGTGGGGGCAGGCCCATATCGCGTGGATCCTCTGCCTCTGGGCCTGGCGGCTCTTGGTTCTGACTCCCCAGGTGATCGGTACCCTCTGCCTCCAGAGTGCCAGCTGGCTGAGGAGGTGAGCAGTGCGTGTCACCTGGGGCAGTTTTACCAGATCCAGCTGCATGACGACGAACGGTCTGGCCGTAGTCGATGCTGTCCTGCTGCCCCTCGATGAGCTGGTGGTGCCCGTCGCAGTCCTCCTGATCTGCGGTCTCCTGGCGATGCTGCAAGCAGTCCTCCTCCTCCTCGAAGGGGTCGTGGTCTTGGACGTCCATGGTGCTGCGTCCTGCTGGTGGGGGAGAAGGCAGATCCAGCTGCACGACGGCGACGGTCTGGCCGAACTCGAGGCTGTCCTGCTGCCCCTCGATGTGCTGGTGGTACCCATCGCTGTTCTCCTGGTCTGCGATCTCCTGGCGGTACTCCAAGTAGTCCTCCTCATCCTCGAAGGGGTCGTGATCTTGGATGTCCATGGTGTTGCGTCCTGCTGGTGGGGGAAGGGCACCCCTCTGCATCCCTTCTGTGCAGCTGTCTGCGCTGCTGTGGGTTGGTCCCACGTCGAGGTCTGGGACACATCCCGTGGCGTTGTACCTGGGGCGCGAAAACCCCTGACCCATCTCTGAGCAGGGACCAGCTGCCTTCCCATGGTCCGCTGCGCCCGCCTCGGCCTGAGGTGGGGAGACCTTCTCAGGTGCTGGCTGATTCGCGATGTCCTTGGAGCCGCTGCCGCCGCCTCCTGCTGCGCCCCCACTGCCTGCACGCCGCTGCTGCAGCTCGGGGGGGCCCTCACCCCGCTCGGTGGGGCCGCGATCCACCGAGCTTCCTCCCGAGCTCTTCGATGGCCTCATGGCTGGTGCGGGGACCCCGTCTTCGTGGCCTACCTGGCTGTCTGACATGACGGGGCCAGGCTCAGGCGCCGGCGGGCCCTGTTCACCTCCTGAGTACTCGTCGGGAATTGTCAGGGTCTTGCCCAGTCGGCTTGCTGCTGCCTCCTGCGCTCGGGCATCATGGTGCGAGAGCTGCCGCACCAGGGTGGAGATCTCCGCCCACCACGCATGGATCTTCCTTTCGACCCCTGCCCATGGCGTAGAGGTGACGGTGTCCTTGATGCTCACGCTCTTGTAGCTCGGGGGCCTGCTATGCCCGAGATGTCGTCCACGCTCTTCCTCTGGGATGCCGATGCTCTCGCGCAGGCTGAGCTCGAGGGTGCTTGCGAAGCGGTCGTACTGTTGTCCTAGGTCCAGCATGTCCCGCTCCATCATCTTGCCGGCGACTGTGTGCTGCAAATGCTGGGGCAGCTCGTCGCAGGCGCGCGCGCTGACTCGCTCGGAGGTGGCCTGCCACAGCTCGTCAGAGATGACGTGCTGGACCTCCTTGTCGTAGTGCAGCTGCGGCACTGGCTCCATGTCGTTCTCGTCCAGGTCGCATCCTGCATCTGCCAACGCTTGCTGTCGTCGGCGCATGGCCTCCTGGCCCCCTCGCGCCGCTCGTCTGCAAGCGGCTCTGGACTTCGGCATTTTCTCGACTGTGACTGGCGGCTTAATGGCTGCTGGCCTGCGAAGTACCCTGCCCTTGAGCATGGGGGGCCGCCCCTCAGCTTCAAGCGGATGCTAATGTGCGGCGTCCACGGCGCGGTCCTGAGCAGCTCCAGCTGGTCGAAGTACGGCGCCAGGCCCTGCGAGATCAGCGCGAAGTCGATGCACCTGGCCTCACCTGCTGCTGGGAAACATGTGGGGGCGCCATCCTCCGCCGCAGCTACCTGAGCATTCAGCACCCTGGGCCAAATACTGTTGTTGAACTCCGACGGCGTCATGTTGAAGTCCCCAAGCGCTGCCCAGGGCCCTCCCCAGACGGCCATCTTCTCCCGCAGGTCGCAGAGGATGTCGACATTCCTCTCTCCAAAGCCCGTCCCGCACTCAAGGTAGACGAAAGCGAAACGGACCTTGTGCAAGGTGGAGATCACCACCGTGACGTCACTGCCGTCCTCGTGCAGGTAGTGCTCGTCGAATCCCGCAATCCTGTCCTGGATATCCAAGGATCCTCGCGCGATGGCACACGTGCCTCCTCGAGTGCCTTCTCCTTCTCCTGGCCGTGCCTTGGTCCAGTAGCTGTGCATGCCATTCCTCCTGAGCGCCGCTCTTGCCTTGCTTATCTGTGCAGGCTGGCGGAGGTGGTGCTCCGCAATGCCAATGATATCCCTGTCCTTGGTGTTGTTGATCTCCATGAGGTAGCCCTGTGCCTGGGAGCCCCAGGTCGTGACGTTGAAGAAGTCAATGTGGCACGGGCGGCGAGCCTTCTTCACGCTCGCCTTGGGGCGGCTACCCTGCTGAGTGGTCGCCCTGCCCTTCTGCGTCGACGACTGTCTCGGCGCGCCTTGCCTGCGAGACCTTCTCTCGCGCCTCCTGAATGTGGGCCTCCACTCTGGCTCGGCGTTCTTCTGCTTTGTCATGTTCTGCTGCACCTGCTCCAGGTTGGGCAGCTGCTGCGGCGCCGGTGGGCACAGCCGCGCCAGCTGTCCCTGCTGCCTCAGTGCATGCGGTGGCTCCTCGCTGAGGGGCTGGGCTGGCGGCGCAGACTCGCTTGCCTGGCGGGGCTTCTGCTGCTGCTGGGTCTTGCTCTTGGCTCTTTGACAGGCGCTTGGAGCGGGCCTGCTCGAGCTGGCGCAGTTGCTCCTGGTGCCTGGCCGTCTCCTCCTCCAGCAGTCGCAGGTGCTTCGCCGTCTCCTCCTCGTGCTCCTTGACCGTCTGGGCCATCCGCTCGCCCTTGGCCTTTGCTGCCCGCCAGACCTCCTTGTCTGGCTCGGACCACCTGTAGAA